CATTCTCAATAATCATATTCCCTAGTAATCTTTTATTCTCACTGGTAATCTTACATTCCGTGAACCAAACATACCCTTAGTGTTTGTGTTTTTATATGGTAAATTACATATTTAGTTACCTAATTATTTGTAAGGTTTTATTTTTCGTCATTTTATTTTATTTAAAAAAAATCTAATTATATATTTTGGTCACACGTCGTTAACAAAATTAACAATAATACTTACATGTTATCATAAAATAATGTCATGTCATCATTAAAAAATGTCAAATCAATAATAATATTAATTTATTAACGATAAGTGACCAAAATAAAATCAAAATATAACGTTAGATAGTGATATAAAAAATAATTGAGCGACCAAAATGAAACTATACAAATAGTTGGGTGACTAAATTTGTAATTTACTTTTTTATTTTTATAGTTTCTTTTTCTTTTTTGTGAAGATAAGTAAAGGGTTTATGAATAATGAAGGAAAATTGATGATGGGCCTGAGGGCAGTCAATAATGGAGTCAAACGCATAAAATACAGTACAGCCCATTGTAATTTTGAAATAAAATATTTTTTTTAATTTCTCCTATTTTTCTATCTCCAAATTTCAAATCCCTCTACGCGCAGAAGATCCCGCGTGGCGCGTCCACCTTCCATCGTAAAATTACATTCTAGGCTTTTTATTCTTCGATCTCAAACGCTACTCCAAGTATCTCTTTCTCGATATATAGTCCTCTCTCAAAAAAAAAAAAAAACTTGTGTAGTACCGTGTCGCTCTGCCTCTCTCTAAATTTTATTGGATCTAGGGTTCTGGGTTTCTTTTTCCACTCTAGTCAATTTGTCATCAAATCAAGTGGTTGTGGCTGCTCCACCGTTAGCTTCAATCCGATCTCTTTTAACGGCAATGCCTCCTCGCGCATCTAAGCGAAAATCTGCCCCACCCAATTCCTCATCCGTCACATCATCCGACGGTCGTTCTGGTACATCTTCCTTTTCTGTTTTCCGTTTCTTTCTGTGGGAGAAAAAAACGAATTGATTTTGCTATGTTTTTAATGTATGCTACACGAAAAAGCGCGGGAAGAAAAAAGATTAAATGAATTCCTTTAAAAAAAGACGAGAATTGTACAAGCCCAACATGCCCCGATTAATTCTTTACAGTAATTGCCGTTCTTTTTCTTTTGGGTTGCTGGTGTGTGAATTAAGATTATTCTATTTTGATTGGTTTCTCAGAAACCGCGGGAAAAGTGAATATATTAAATTGAAAGTTTGAAACATCGTGCTCTAACTAATAAAAATATTCATATAATAAACGTTGGTTAAATCGTTTCTATTATAGGTTTTTTGGTTGAATGTATATTATTTTGCAACTTATGTCTACATCTCCGCTGAAATTTTGTAATATTCCCCTTAATTGAATTAATGTTATAATAGATATTATAGGGTCAAAATTTTTCACAAGTTTGAGAAATTAGCAAGTAGGAGGGGATAATTACGTCAAAAATTGGGTCTTTTATAGCATTATACCTTAAAGTTAATGCTAGGGGTGAGGAGTTAAACCTATTGAAAGGAATTTGCCTTTTATTTATGATAGTTCTAAATTGGCTATAACCATTTAACATGTAACAAACTTAACCTGGTTTTCCTGTTGTTGGTAAGTTTTGTCTTTTTGTTCTGCCCCTAATTGGTGGTGTGGATAGCCTTATAGGGTTTTAGTAGAATAGCAATCTGACTTGAATGTTTTTCTGGTGAGGTATTCTAACTAGATATTATATTCTTTGTTTCAGTCTCAAATAAAGCTAAAACAAAGGGGATGGGAAAAATAGACCGCTTATTCATACGTATGAAAATAGTTCCTTAGGCATGATTGAGTAAGTACATTCTGTCCTCATTCTTTATATTTCTTGAGCTACTGGTATGGTGATTGGTGTTATCATTTATGAATACAAGAAAATAAAAGGCCAAACCAATTTATTATATTTATCCAAATCATGCTCTTATCATTTTTCAAAGTCAATATCTCTCAGCTTTTGGTTTGTAAAGGTGTTACATTTAATTATCATCTGCTTTAAATTATCTTGTGAACATAATGTCAATGAAAAGCTTGTGAACCTTGTTAAAATTGTCGTTTGAACATAATTTCTCGCATTTTATTGTACGATATGTAGATATATTTCATATCAAAGTATTAACACTAAATGCTTTCACTAAGAATTCATTGGGTGAAAAAGTTATAAGTTCCCTCGGGAAGAATGTGCTGTGCCATTTTTTGAAAAAAAATAATCCTTGTCTGAATTTGAAAGAAATTCTGATTGTTTAGATAAGAGGCTATTTGATTTGTCTGAAAAAATTAACATAAGCCCCACTGGAAGCACAAGGAGAGATTTTCTTTAGATTATAGTGTGCTTCTTCTTTTAATAACCTTAGTTTGCTTGAGCAGTCCAGAAGGTATTGAAGCACTATGTGCAGATCTAGGAGTGGACTACACTGATGTGAGGATATTGATGCTTGCTTGGTATGTATTCGGTGGACAATGATTGGACCCCCTGTTTGGTGAGAGTTTCTTCTAATAATATGTATTATGCATCTCTCAGGAAACTAAAAGCTGAAAAGCAGGGCTATTTTACACAGGTAAGTAGAGGCTCTACTTATATGACTTGCTACATTCAATGGATACCATAATAGAGAACGTGAACAGCCATTAGATGAATGACCTCTTTTTTCCTTCTCCTGCACTGAACCAGGATGAGTGGCAAACTGGCCTGAAAGCATTGGGGGTTGATTCACTTAGCAAACTAAAAAAGGCACTTCCTGAACTGGAGAAAGAGGTATTTGTATGTGCTGTAATGGTCATTGCCACCATTTTGAACTCATTTTCTAATTGACAAATTGATGTAGGAAACGTAGCATACAAAACATTCAGAAGTCTTAATTATTCTGAAGATTACAATCAAACTCATCAAATATAAAATATTGCTCTAGACAACTTAAATCTTCTAATTACGATATCTCTATTTTCCTTCAGAAGTAAGTGATTTGGTGGTACTGATCTTAAATTTTATGCATCTGAAAATAGGTGGAAAACCCATCGAATTATGAGGATTTCTATATCTACGCCTTCCAATACTGCCTGACAGGTTCCTATTAATTGAATGAAAGCATCCTTTTTTCCCTCCATGTACAGATGCACTTGATACTTGATAGGATTACCTTTTAATAAAAGTTTAACACTTACCCACTGCCCCAGAGGAGAAGCAAAAGAGTGTGGACATTGAAAGCATCTGTGAACTGTTGAATCTTGTTCTAGGGGTCCAATTTCGTCCTCAGGTTGATTCACTAGTCGAATATCTGAAGGTAGGCAGCTAAGTTTCTTTATGAGGCTGTTTTTCTTTGATCTTAAGCAAACAAAATGCCTGATTAGATTCTCTCTCTTTTTTTTTTTGAACATACATTCCATGTTCTCTTATGATGCTTGGATTTTGAATTTCTAGCAGATCCAAAATGATTACAAAGTAATAAATGCAGACCAATGGATAAATTTTCTTCGTTTTTGCAAAGAGGTAGGCCTTTCGAAAATGTACTAGTTTACTATTAGTATTTTCCCATTTGTCCTCAAAACTCAATAGCATAAATTTTCTTTCCCTTGCATTGGAAGTTTTTGTTGGCTGCGAAAAGGAATAATGAAGCAAAACTAAGAAAAAAATGAACTTGTAAAAGGAAAAATGATTCATCCTGGATTTGTTTTCTGATGGTTGACATACGTACTTATTTATATCACATTTGATAGAATTGAACCATTTATGATATTGGATGAAAAGGCAAATGTTATTTACCTTTCCATCTATCAATCTGAGGGGTTTATAATAACTTTGAATCCTTGCTAGCAGATTAGCTTTCCAGATCTGGAAAACTACGATGCAACCCAAGCATGGCCCTTGATTCTTGATAATTTTGTCGAATGGATGAGAGAAAACCAAAGCTAGTGAGGCATCTTTCTTGTGTCTTGCAAATTGCTGATTTCTTATGGTAAATGCTCTCTTTCTCAATGTGCACACTGATGCCGTTGAAAGTATTAAATGAAAGATAAAACTTCATTTTGTTCATTTGTCAACAGGACAATACCTTGTGGAAAGCCTAACCGCATCAACCTTGGAGCTGGCTCATATCATAACTGATTTTACTGAACCTTTTTCTCCTGGTTAAGTTAAAGCTAAAGCTACAATTTTGTTGTCCTGAGATGATTTATACATACTGCATTCATTAATATTTATTTCTTTTTTCCTTGTTAAAGCTTTTTTCTTAAGCAAAGAAGAAAAGGGTTCGTTACCCAATGAAGGATAATTTCATTACAAAATATCTTTTGCTTTAAACCATGTTTTCCCACTTCTATAGATACCAAGGAAGCTTCAATCTTCATTCACAAGAACCCATGCTCTTGAAGATGCAAAAACATCTATAAAAGTACAAGTTAAATTTTCAATCAACTAAACCACATCATTACCTAGTCTAGAGGTTCCACTGTGTATAAGAACCAAGGGCCCAAAAGAAATAGGCACGAATTCCAAGTGCTTAACATAAGTATATGTCGATTCACTATCCATGGCATGTTCTATAACTGCACCATTCTTCTTATTGAACTCCTCTACCTTTGAACTCAAAGAATGGTCCTAGTGATGAAGAAAATATTCTTCTCTCTCGGTAATCTAAATTCGAGTAGTTTTGTTTGTAGGCGTGTGTGAATTCATCTAGATTTAAAATCACACAGATTCTACCTTGTGATCATATTATAATCTTAAAGCAAAAACTTCTCTACCTCCATACAAGTTAACACCCCATAATAATCGACAGTCTCATCGGGGCTCCAATTGTGAAATCTGTGGATCATTGAATGACCAAATTTCTTGTTGTGATGCAGACGTATTTCCCTTCGAAAAGCTTAGTAATACAGAACTACCAGATGATGCTGAATAACGTGCATACACATATAGACATATATTTCCTTATTGGTTCAGATATCTATAGATTTTTAGGCTGAGCTGAGGTCCCATTGATATTTCAGGTAATAACAGATAGTATTCAGTTCAGATGGAAAATATTTGGGATGTTTAGGTTCAGGAGATCAGAATAGGTTTTCTAGTATGTTCCCACAAAACCATGTAAATTTTCAGATCTTTTTAAAACATATATATATTTTTTAAATATGAACACTACCTCCATCCATCACGAACAAAATGTGTAGGTTCCCCATAACCATACAACCCCATCACGTCCAGTAAGGCCCTGAGCACAAAGCCGAGGAACCTGCAAGTATTCTTCCTCCAACAATATCCCCCAATAAAACATGTTTCGTCCGTAAACGGGTATATAAAAAATCAAAAAATAATTTAGGTGATCAGAATCCATGTCATGTATCAGATCATAATTCATGTCAGTATCAGATCAGAATCCAGGTCAGGTATCATAACATAATTCAAATTAGAAATCAGATAAAATATTCATGTGATTAGGGAACACACCAGAGTTTACAGATATTATTCAGAGGTACTGATAATCTTAATAGGCAGAGAAACACGGATCTTCAATATACCGATAGAATGTCCGAATTTAGAATCACTATAGGAAGAGTTCAATAACTGACAGAATCATCAGTTATTCAGAATATGACTTGAGCTGATAAGGAAGAAATGAAGGTTCAGGATATTTACAGTCTATGTCGATTGATTTCATTATCAAACAACTCCAGATGAATATATCTCATAACTAATGCTTGTCGTTTAATATATTCATTGTCCTTCCATGGTATTTACTTTTTTTAATACCAAAAATTCTTATCCATAGATCATCTTCGAAATCATCGTTGAATAGTTCTTCCAATGTCTTTATTTCATTTCCACGCTTCCACAATATCATGAAATGCTGACGTACTTGATTTATAGTTTATGACCCAGAAGGACAACACATCATGTAAGTTCATTAGCATTCCCAAACTCATCCAGATTACTTATTTAATCATCAGTCATTGAGCTTACTTAGTTCATTTAGTAGTCAAGTCTATCTCGGTTACTGAAGAGTTTTCTAGAGTAATTCGGACACTTCTGAATTTCGGATACATGTTGTACTTCCTTTCAGTTCAATTTAGTCTTCATGGTTGATTTGTCTAACTAATATCCACTTTTTAGTACATAATGCGATCCAGAGTTCAGCTGAACTGGTTACTTCCAAAATTATCATCGATCCAAACTTAATGAGACGAACAAACATTTAAGATCATTCAGGTAATGATATAACACTAACGTTGGTTGACCACTTAAGCTACGTTCCATAACTTTTAAGAGCAGTACAACATCCATGTTTATTTAGATTTCTTAATTAATCCAAGACATTTACTTATTCTAGGCCATAAGGGTATTTTGGTCATTTTGGTGTTCGGTTTTATTCCTTTCTTTACAGAGCTCGAGGATATACAATCATTCTTGAGCTTGTTGATATTCTTGGGTCATTTCCATTACAGGGTATTTAAATCCTTTCCTTCTGTCCGATCTTATTACTAATTTAAACTCATCATCTATTCCAGTCATTTCGATCAATTCTTATAAAGGAGCACTCTCAATAATTTATTCTTCAAGTATATACTCTTAACTCGGAGATTTTCAAGTCCACTGCCTTCTCAGATGTTACAAACAGGTTATCAGGACTTTTCCATACAAAGACAGGATTTTAACAATTAAATCTGTAATTTATCGGGTTAAGTACGAATCCTCAAAGTATTTTCTCATTCAGGGTCAACTCGGACTATTTTTACCTTTCAAGGGCATTTTCATAATTTCTTAACCAAATAGTTTCGACATTAACTCTTAACGAAAATAACTAGAATTTAGAGATCATATGGTTAATTTATTTCCAGAACATTCTCTAATCTTGAAATGATTCCTTAACAGACTTCTAGTATCTTGCATAAATCCTTTTGGGGTTAAAACTGGTTATCCAAAATTTCTAAGCAAACAAGCATTTCTTATGCACATTTGTAGTTTTATCAGATCAATAAGTCTTTTCAGAGTTATTAATCAACTTTCAGGGACAATTCTTGTCATTCTACAATATAGGGGTATTTTCGTAATTTTATCCTATATTCTCATAATTTATCATCCAAGTACCTTTGACATTTAACCTTTGATGAAATAAATTATATGTTACATATCCATGCTAATTTATTTATCACTAATCACAGAACTCGTAATTTAATTTTAACAATCCCTCAATTTCTTATAATAATCCCTCAATTTCTTATAATAATCATCCGAATCGTATTCAGTTACCGAATTTTTACTGCATTCATATCGAGTATATGAATTAATTAATTACCCAAATGAGACCAAACATGTTCATTCATGCATTTACCAATACCAACATGTTCCATAAAATATGAAAAGGTAGTAATATATTACCTCAATTTCCGTGTAATACTGATCGACCATTAAATTCCATTCGAATGCCCTTGATATTTAATTCAACTTCCCATAATTCCTCAAATACATAACAATATAAATTTCATAAAAAACAGAGCTTAATTCCGAAAAACGGATCGAATCGGGTGATAAATCAGTGAAAAACAGCTTATCGGGTTCGAATTTGGTAAAACAGACCCCAAAAATGAACTCAGAACATCAAAAATACGTTAGAGTAAGTATTCTCAAACAAAGTCAACGGTAGTTCAATGGTCGGTCAACGCCATTTAAAGTTCTAGTCAACGCCGGTCAACGGGTCGGGTCGGTCAATCGGGTCGGGTCAGGCTGGTTTTCTTTCTTTCTTTTTTTCCTGCTGCTAGACGAAGCCCACTCTCAGGGGGTGGCGCGTGGGGTGCGTGAACAGTGTTACGGGGTTCGAAAAATTTCTAAAAATTATTTTAAGGCATTTTTAGACACTTACCAATCTCGGTTCAACGGTGGAGAGCTCGATTCCGAAACATTAAAAACTTTGACTTCCTTACCCCTCCACGCGCCGACGATAGAGACACAGAGGACACCGGTGGAATCGAAATGATGCAAGAAACACGATGGTGCGGGAGGTGTCGAAAATGGGTGGTCAGATCGACGAAAAACCAACGATACTTCCAACTGAAATTAACGACAAATGACGCTGATTCACAACAAGAGGTTTGCGAAGTTTTTTTCATCGGTCAACAACAAACACGATGGTAGTTTCGGTTCGTCGAACGAAGGTCAGACGGTGAGTAGATCGAAGTTTAAAGTGGGATGAGCGAAGAGATAAATGGGCAACAATGTGGAAAATCATACGGAGAAAGGGTTATAATTCTTCATATAAAAATGAGTAAATTATGAGTTTAGTCACTAAATTTTCTATATTTTTTAAAATGATATTCTAACTTTAAAATTTTACACTTTAATCCTTAATTTCTTCTAAAATACCACTCTAAATCCAATATTTTATAATTTATAAAATTTAAATTAGAGTGTTACAAATATTGGGCAAATCTGTGCTGTTAGGCCAAACCCATAACAAGTCTATTCCATGAAAAGCATAACGCCTAGCTGCTTTCATAGAGGAATCAATGAAAGACATCCTTGTAGAAGATGATGAGACCATTGAAGATAAAACTGAGTCATTAACCTTTTCACCAGATATAGCTTTCCCTGTTGCAGATATCCCATTCCAGACGGATAACAGTGGTTTAACCGATGGGTTTCTTCGTTTGACTATGGTTGCAAAAGTTGAGAAATATTGTTCAGAGGCAGAGGGGATAGAGAGCTGATAATTTGAGGCGTTCACTTCAGCAAAGGCACATGAAAGATGAGTGAACAAAGCAGAATTTATGTCTTGTATGGGAAATTCACCATTAGCGTAACAGTAACCAGCTTTAATCCAAGTTTGTGCACCAGAGAAGCGGAATTGAGAAGAAAGGAAGAAGATGATGGAAAGAAGGAAGAAGGTTTGGATGCCATTGAAGCTGCAGTAGAAGGTAGAAAAATCTTTCAATTTTCACATTTTAACAATAACTCTTCAATTAAACAGCCTTCCTCATTTGTGAGCCGGCAAGTACTTGTACTTAGATTCAAGGACACCTACCCTTACTTGAAAACGAAAACACTGCTCCATAGTCCAAACCAAAACCCCATTTTTTATACGCTACTGTATTAATTGGCCGCTCGTCAATGGAGCCTACGACGAACCCACTGTTAAATAGGCTCGGTTAGGTCTTTATCTTTAGTTCTTTCTGTCACAGCCATAGGCTTATCAAACTCTATGTTGAATTATGAGAGCCAGGGAGTTCTTTGATGATGGACACATGTATGGAAACAATTAAATAAACGTACCACATAATCAGTTTTTCTTTATTTTTTAGTAACATTTGTATACAATTTAAATGTTTCTTAAAAAATTAAATTAAAAGAAAATTTTATATTTAATTCATTTTTAATAAAAATATAGTATCAATTGTACAAATAATTTGAGTTGTTTAAAAACATTATGAACAATTATCATATTTGAATAGTTCAAAATTTGACTTTAAATGAATATATTTTTAAACGTTAAACGAATTTAAAAGGAAGATGGTTTTTTAACATTAAAATTGATATATTTATAAACATTAAACAAATATATTCGTGTTAATAAAAGAAACGAACAAGTTTGTGAATGTTAAATGAGCAAACATGAACACCTTGAAAAATAAATAAATGAACATGAACACGATATTAATAACTTAAACGAACTTGAAGTAAACATGAATATTTTAAAAAAAATAAACAAACAAATACAAATATAATTTTATTTGTTCAAATTCGATTATTTTACACACCTACTTCCTACACAAATCCGTTCCTTAAAATTCGGCAAAACTTCCACGTTAATGCAAATGGGAATGTTTAACAAATATAATTTTATTTGTTTAAATTCGATTATTTTACACACCTACTTCCTTCACAAATCCGTTCCTTAAACTTCGGCAAAACTTCCACGTTAATGCAAATGGGAATGTTTAATTCCCAAAATAATGTTGTAATGCGA